TCAGCCAATCACTAATCTGAGGGAATATGAAACTTGTTTGTATACGCAGCAAAAGCAGTCCCATCCGCCCAGAAATTCACGTAAAGATGCTTATCACTTTTCTCCCGCTGTGTGCAGCCCTGATTCCCCATCGGAAAATTTTAGTGTATTATACACTGTAGCTATAAGCATGCAGCAAAGTCTCACAAGTTACGCGCTACTAGGAAGTTCTGGAGGATGTGGTGATATCTTTCCTCTTGTTTTGTTAATTGCTCTATTGTACTTGATCCCAAAGGTAACTTCACTTTTTCGCGTGTTTGTAGGCGTGATAATTATGGTTTCGTGACATTCTTAGAACCTGAAGATGCTCGCGAATGCATTGAACGTAAGTACATGCACAATGCATAATGCAAGTAAGGAATTATAGTTCTACAGAAAATTGATGCGTTGTTTTACAGCCTTTCAGTTATTTTTACAAAGGTTGAAAAATGACTATCCGGTGGATAACACTATCTAGTCTTCATACAAGCGGCCTAACCTCACAAATGTTGGCACTTATAGGAAGAAAATTGCCCTGCATCTCTCAATCCTATATGTATTTCCCCACAAAGATAAAACTACTGCACATAATGCAATATATTTACATTATAACTGTCTGTTGATTTCCATCTGCTTCACACCACCATATTGTTTTTTTGAAACCAACCGATATAATTGAAAGTAAGTGATTAGTCTAATCAAAAGGCTTGAAGAAAGTGCACACGAGATATCATCAATAAAAGGTCATGAAACTGAAAATAATTTGATTTCATTTGGTTATTTGCGTTTTCCCAGGGGGTAATTCAGATCCAACAGAACCGCAATTTGATTTGTGTTTTGGGGGAAGAAGACAGTTTTGTGGTGGAAGTTACGTCGATTTTGGTAAGTATTTACCATTCGTAAAGTCCTTTAACCCCCTGAGATCGTTCAGCACCTTCCCTGAAACAACCGCAATTCCCAACAGCTGAATTTGGGGCGAAACTCTAGCAAAACATAACATTGGAAACAAGAGTCAAGAGAGCACCGAAATGTCGTTACAATAGTCGGGATTGTTTGGAAAAGATAATGATGTTTAAATGGTTTAATCCAGCGGTATTAAGTTATTATAACATCCAACAATTCTTCATCGTCGTATTTCAGACTCGAGCACCAGTCATATTGAAGAGCAAAGTGAAAGACACGGCAAGGTTTGTGATGACATACCGGAAGAAGATGATTTTGACTCACTACTGCGCATGTATCAGGAAGGACTTGGCCGGTAAAATGTTTCTATTAAATATAGACGCTTCCCGAATTTGCTCGAGTGCACATGAGACAATGAACAAGGTCTGGCTGGCAATGAATTGTTTACAATGGATTACATTGTCAGCCTTCAGTTTATTTTAATTTGCTTCGTGTGCACTCGAGCAAATTCGGGTAGAGTGAATTAATAATTAGCATGCAGTGGGGCCGCCATGATATTGTTTTCGGTGGGGGGGGGGGGGAGGGAACTTAATAATTTGTACTAATAATTGTTTTATATATTAGAACAAAGTTCAGTAGCTTCTATGAGTAGGTGCGCGCAAAATAAGCAACACTGTCTGCCGATAATTTTCCATTGCCCCTCCCAAAAACTGCCGCCGGCGGCGCCACTGTCAGTATGTTGCATGTTTGATACTAATTGTTTTTGTTTGTGGAAACACCACGTAAATTTATTACTGCAAAGCTTTCGATCCGTAAGCCCGGATCTTCATCAGTGCTAATAATATGAAAGCTTTGCAGTAATAAATTTACGTGGTGTTTCCACAAACAAAAACAATTATATTTTATCGCCATGCAAACATTCAAAGAACTTATGTTTGATACTGTTGGAATGTTTGGATCGGGATTTTGGATTTTGAAAGAAAATTTGGTTGACGTGCTGGTTTAAATACTGTTTTATAAGTGAGCAACTCGGATTATATATTTGGTTCAAAATCGCGAGCGTGTGGTGCTGGCAGCCGATGAAACCAACAAATGTGTACGTTTTGCGAGTGTTTTGATAATGTTCAGAACATGAGAGGCCGTGTTATATATTCAATGTTGTAAACAATTTGTGAAATGAAATTCATTCATATTACAAACCAGTTACACACTCGTGGTTCGAACCACTAGTCTTCGCCAGTTGCAATTTAAATTGGAATTTTTATTATTTACTTGTGATATGCATGTGATGGCGGTACATCTACGAAATGCGTGCAAGGCTCGTTAATGGACCATTTGCATTATAGACTAAATTTTGATCTAGACAAAAATTTCATCACAGCTTGAAAGAGCATCACAAAATTAGTAATATTCCAAAGTTTCGTTGCGAAATGTTGTAAAATGCGGATAATATAGCCTTGCAAAGTTTGCCGTTTTTCAGTCATTTTGTATTACAAACGGGAAATTGACAGCCCAATCGGGTGTTGGGGCATCAATTACCCTGTTGTATAATACAAAATGACTGCAAATTGCAAATTTTGCAAGGCTATATTATCCGCATTTTACAACATTTCGCAACGAAACTTTGGAATATTACTAATTTTGTGATGCTCTTTCAAGCTGTGATGAAATTTTTGTCTAGACTTGTTTAGATCAAAATTTAGTCTATGATGCAAATGATTTCACAAATCGATTTCAGAACTCCATAGTAGGGAAGAGTACTAAACAAAGACTGTGTTATAATGGCTGTTCGCAAAAGTATCGCGGTGATTTGTTATAGACTCAAATAATTATAAATTATCAATGCTTTTAATTCACACAATAAAATCAATTCGAGTTCGTTTTTACAAAGCTGTTGATCAATTGGTTTTAACAAAGAAAATTTGGAGCTTGAATTATAGTTTTTATAGTTTGTTTTTATATACCATTATAAAACCAACTGATATTCAAATTAACATAAAATTACATAATATCTGTGCATGTCAACGTGTCGACATTTAGTGTTGTTGAAATCTGAAATGATATCTATAATACTAAGTTAATTGTGTGTTTGTATTTATATGCACTATTGCTAGGGACCAGCATTTTATTGTTATAGTTTAGTTAAATATTGCTTATAAAAATAGTTGAAGTTAATTGAAAAGTACTGTGTAATGTACTACTACTGTATTGGTAACGTAAACAACGGTATATGAATTTCGTATAAACATTGTGTTTAATAGTTTTAAATTTTGTAAAATGAATCACAATATATATTGAGTCTGATTAGTTCGTTGTTTTTTCTATCCTGTTTGGGGATATATAAACCTTGCTCGGATTTTGAGGAGTGGTGGAGGAAGGCGCGCCCCCCCCCCCCCGAGATTTTTTGCACCTCCCCTTGGGAAGGGTTAAATGATTGATCAAAGTGAACATTTGACAAATGTGTTGCTTATGTCTACACTTAGTGAGAAAGTTTTTCTGTAAAATTGAAAGAGTGATAGCCATTCATCTCCATGTCAAATACCCTTTTAATGCAATTTCGAAATTGCAATTTCGAGGACAAATTTAGATGAGTCGTGCAGTGATAGATCGCTGCTCTTCCCTACATTTTCCTCCATCTCCCCCACCATTTCCACCAAAATCCGGCTTTGATATAAACATTGTAGAACAGACATTTTCATCGGTGATCTAAAGTTGCAAAGTGCCTTATATTATCGGTCAACATGGCGAAGATGCACTTCTGGGAGATAGCAACCGTTATCTTTATTAAAAACACCATATTCATTTTGTGCTTGCGCCTTTACATTACAGTTATATTTTTGAGTTCAGTGGGGCCCATTGGGCTTACATTACAGTTATATTACTGAGGTCAGTGGGGCTTACATTACAGTTATATTGTTGAGTTCAGTGAGGCTCAGTGGGTCGTCCAGACGTATTTTGTACACACTAACCACTAATTTTAATCAATCGCAGTTCCGCTAGACAAAACCCTGGGAGAGTGGAGTTTTTTTATGAAACTAATTTCTAAAATAATAGGCTTAACTTTCTATTAATATCAAAGTTTATCTATACCAACTAAAAAACAATTTATTTTCTTTAAAAAAAACCGAGAGGCCTTCTTACGTGGACCACCTTATGACTCCATGTCTGATACGAGTAATCAGTATGGGGCTTGCTCTCACGATAGCGCCATGTAGTACAGTCGACCGAACTGCCTAAATATTTGCCAAACTTTTCTTTGTTTGCATATTAAAGCTCTCGTTAAACCGCGAAGACTGTCCGTTCTGACACCAAAAATCCTTTTATGATGCGTATCTCATTGAAATTTCGAAATTTTAGACACGACCAACTGAACTTTAAATTGCAGCCCAAGATGGCGACACGAGCCCGCCAAAGTGAATTTTAAATTTCCACTTCGAAACCAGATATTAAATTTATTTTTAAAATGAAACGGGATTAGTAATGTGTGATTATTACAGTCAGCAGAATAAACAATGACGAACTTAGAAAAATAATTTAGTTAAACAATCTTCGTTTGAGTGAAAAAAAGCCGCCTATCTTATATTGGACCTTTACGAGAAAGTTCAGCCGATCCTCAGCTTGGAATGTTTTCAAATTTCTATTAGTTTGTAAGTTCCAATCTAAGTCCGGGACTGCGTGGATTTAATAATTGAAAAGTGAAAAGTTATTAACGGAGCATATGAAAACCGCGATACTCCGCATGCGTTTTGAATATGTGAAATGTCGGCCAATAAGGAGACGGTCCTATAGCAAGTTCAATTACATTAAATAGATGGTTAGATCGTTTCGACGTCATCTTGACTTAATCTTGCTAATTGATTATCACTGTGGCTAGTAAAAACGCTATAAATATTACTACCGACACGATGAATTTGGCGTACCCAAGGCAGGCCATTCACTCGCAACACTTTGCAGCGATTTACTTGAAATTCGACTCATCACTCTTAATCAGTGCTCGAAGTTCTCATAGGCCACATATCACATAGCGTTGACTTGCATCTAATTGTCGGAAATTAACATTGAAGACAGCCGGTGATAATATGAACCTAACACCGTCGCAACTTTCCGAAAGCATTGTTGAAACATATTTAGATCAAAATACTGACTTTACTCGTGAGTATTTCGCGGGGAAATTTTCGCGTGCTTCTTCGTCGCGTGTTGTACTTGAAACAAGTGGAGTGATGAGTTCGCCATGCACCTCGGCTGTCAAAAATCCAAGCAAACACTGTCAGGTGTTAAAGCCCCTTCGAGGCTCCGTGTCTATAATGAATCCCGAAAAAGTACGAGGGATTTTCGATCCAGAAACGGCTCCTGAGTCGGGGAAACTCTACACGGATTCGTCGACAAGCATGACGCCGACGCGAGCCGATATACGCGGACTGGACGAACGGGAATTATTGATGGAGCTCATTCGGGAAATATCAAACGAACTGGACGTACAACGGTTGAGTCATAAAATTCTCGTCAATATTGGGATTTTAACGAATGCTGACCGCTGCTCGCTGTTCTTGGCTGAAGGCTCGAAAGACAATCGCATCTTGGTGTCGAAACTGTTCGATGTCACGTCGGAATCTACGCTTGAGACTACGCTACGTGAAAACAATGATCGCGTATACACGGTGCCTTTTGGGGTCGGCATCGCCGGGTACTCCGCACAAACTGGAGAGACTATTAACATCAGGGATGCATATAAGGTCAGTATGGAGGGGATGAGTAGATATAGTAGGAATGAACCCACCTCATCCGCTCGCCCCAATCTCGTACGCCTGTTCGCAGGCTAGAAATTGAAATATTTTGGGAATTGGGGAATTAACATGACACGATCAATTTTAATAGATCGTGTATAAGATTGCGATGCTCCGCTGCGATATATGTGATAACAGACTGTGTTAATAGACATTGCTGTGTTTCATTAGCATGGTGATCAACCTGGTGTTGTCAGAATGGGGAAATAATTTTGAATCATTTCAAATGTGGTTATATAGTTTTGTATTTGTTTAGAATTTTCTCTGGCGCTTTTTAATAAGTGCCAACGATTCTAATGTTTACCAAGAACGCTTGATGAAAACCACCAATTCTTATATAATTCGCCTTATTCTAGTATATACCTTACTCAATTACTGTCTCTATTTTGCCAGGTTGTACTGCTCTGTTCTTTACCATAATTTACTGTAATATACTGCATGTACTGTACTTGCGCACTTGTTGTGTCGTACTGTCGTGGTCAACACGTTTGCCTTTCAAGCGGGAGACCAGGGTCCAATCTTTGGTCGGACTTCTACTCAAGGTCTTAAAATAATTGAGGAGAAAGTGCTACCTTTACATTGACATCAGTAAATGGTTAGACTTTCTCGGACGAGGGTGTTAAAACCTCGGATCCCTTATCAACTGCGAAATAGCCTGTTGGGAAATTAGCTCACCAATGAGTGAGAAACTCGATAGACTAAATGCACTTGTACTGTAGTGTACTGTAGGGTACTGTACTGTACTGTACTGCTACTGTACTGTACTGTAATGTACTGTACTGTACTACTGTACTACTGTACTGTACTACTACTGTACTACTACTAAAACCTCGGATCCCTTATCAACTGCGAAATAGCCTGTTGGGAAATTAGCTCACCAATGAGTGAGAAACTCGATAGACTAAATGCACTTGTACTGTAGTGTACTGTAGGGTACTGTACTGTACTGTACTGCTACTGTACTGTACTGTAATGTACTGTACTGTACTACTGTACTACTGTACTGTACTACTACTGTACTACTACTACTACTGTACTGTACTACTACTACTACTGTACTGTACTATTACTGTACTGTACTATTACTGTACTATTACTGTACTACTACTACTGTACTGTACTTTTACTGTACTACTACTACTGTACTGTACTTTTACTGTACTACTACTACTGTACTGTACTACTACTACTGTACTGTACTATTACTGTACTGTACTATTACTGTACTGTACTGATACTGTACTGTACTGTACTACTACTGTACTGTACTACTACTGTACTGTACTACTACTGTACTGTACTACTACTGTACTGTACTATTACTGTACTGTACTATTACTGTACTGTTACTGTACTACTACTGTACTGTACTACTACTGTACTGTACTACTACTGTACTGTACTACTACTGTACTGTACTACTACTGTACTGTACTACTACTGTACTGTACTACTACTGTACTGTACTACTACTGTACTGTACTATACTTGTACTGTACTTTACTATTTTGCAAAACAGTTGCCATCGTACTTTTAGTTGTATAATTAACTGACTTTTGACTTCACCTCCGTGGGTTAGTGATAAATTTAATTTCAAAAAAGTGATTTAACCCACCCATTGCCCAAATACCTCCACCACTGCAGTATAATAATACTGAAAGAAGTTTCTCGAAACGTTTTAAACACTACAATTATCATTCATATAAAACCTTTGACTTTGCTATTTTTAATTTTGATTAAGTGTTAACTTGAAACTCGGTGATTACAATAACATGAGAAAATGACCATGACGTCCCAAATTATATATCTCTTATAAATTTTTAACTTGTTGGTTTTGGGATGACAAGCACAATGTCCGTTTTAAATTATATAGTGGACAATAACGGCCGCAATTATAATAGATTTGCTTGTGCCTTCTTTGATTAGCAAACGTCGTTGTACTTAATTTAAACCTGGTGGCACATGCGGTAATTTTATCAGAAAGGATTGACAAATATTTTCAGTTGTCGTTTAAATCGTAAAACCACTGCTGTGTGAACAAATCACCTTGTTAATACTGTCGGCTCTACATTGGGTAAGTTAACCAAAATATCCGATATGTAATACATGTGTGTATAAATATTTGCCGGCAGAGACTTGTATGACTTATGAAACCTAATACAACTTCGCGAGACCGTAATTTATATATCGTAGGTTAGACTTGACGACGTGTGACTTTACATGTGGTTTCGAAAAACTTGATAAAACAACCGTAAATACATGCTACAGTTTTAAATTGAGTCCTAAGACAGTTACTCTGCTACTTTCTGTTAAAAAAATGTGTTTTATACATCTATTTTCGTTCCATGGGGCGTAAATTACCAAATTTTAAATGAATTCTATTCTTGCCAGCTGCATGTTTTCGTTATAATTATACTTTCAATTAATTTGTTGCCAAGCAATTTTGACTAAAGCGCCTGACCTTGTGTTTCATATTAAATGTTTAAGGTTTTATCAAGGGTGGGCTGAAATGAAATAGCGCAAATCGTCTATTTTTGCTCGTAAAAAGGATGCCTATATATAGGGATTATAGCCCATGACCAAAAATGAAAATTTCGTTTCGCACAAACTAAACTTCGTCATGAAGAGTCCACCTTATAACTTTGACGTTTATAACACATGACTGTTTGTAACACCTTTAAAACACTCGTGGAGAAAACGCGAAATTTCGGGCTGCATAAGCAGGCTATGACAACACACACGAAGACAAAATTAATGAACTTCCAGACCAAAAGTATTCTCTCGAAACATAGACTTTTCTTAATCGTTTCTGGCCATTCTAACCTCGATTTTAACCAAAAGCATTACAGCTTAATGTAGAATAACACTTAGTAAACCCCGATCAAACGAATGAATAATTTGATAAATGCAGAGCTTAAATTCGATGAGATTCGATGATGTTGATAACACATTATCGAACAATGAAAATCAAATGGACAAGGTCTTGTCAACTACTATGGGAATAGACCCTTCTGTGCTTGGCCTTGACTATGCAACCTCGTTTTCGAGATTGAGATATCGGCTTTAGAGCCCTTGAATCCTTTATCTAATAACTGATGATCTAATTATATAAAGATCTTTTATATTATCTAATATAACCGTGTGATTTCGTAAATGTGACGTCGGCTGTAACAAGATAAAAGGCTCTAAACCCAATATCTCACGAAAACGAAGCGAAAGTTGAGTATTCTCCGGAAGGGTGTATTAAATTGTTGAAGAACGTCAGATTTAAATTGGAATTTATTCTTTGTTTTTGTAGGATCCTAGATTCAATGCAGCCATTGATAAAGAAACAGGATACAAAACACATAGCATTGTTTGTATACCAATAAAGAACCGCGAGAATCAGGTACAAAGTGATGTTTAATATAGAGAGGTTCAGATTTGACTTCCACTACCGCTACCTCTCACTGGCTTACTACGCCTCTGATTGGTTAATCGGATATATCCAACGCATCTGATTGGTTAATGAATGGTAGTGGTATAGCGGTAGAGGTAGTTGAATCTACCACTCCAATATCTTCTGTAGTTCTAGGGCCGGTTGTACGAAGGCCAGACAGCGATTTTTTCAAACCTTCTAAAATTTTAAAGTTTTGGTAGAACATCGATTTTCGCATTGCATGTTTAAGGATAGGTAACGTACAGTGAAAACTTGTCCAACATTTTAAAAACGTGCCAGCGAATCTTTCTTCTCATCTTTGTTCATGTATTCCTTCTCTTCATTTTTCTTCGTTCATTCCTACTTTTCTTCAACCTTTCTTTCCTAAATTCCTTCATTAACCTCTTTCCTGCCTTCTTCTTCCTTTCATCTCCTTTCCTGTTTGACTCTCTTTCTCCCCATCTTCTATTCTTCCCTACTCTCGTTCCTTTTTCTTCCTGCCTTCTATTGTTTATATTTTCTTTCTAACTTTCTGCTCAACTTTCTTCTCCACCCTTTTATCCTATTCATTCCTCTCGTTCATTTTCCTACCATGTTCTGTCGTTCTCATTTTTTTTCATTCGTCTTTTCTTAAACTAGTGGCAATTTTCACCTTGTGGCGTTTCAGGCTTTTTTCCTTTCTTCCTTAGATATTTCATCCAACTCATTTTACACAATTTTTATATAATTTTTTATGCACGCATCTGAATGTTATTTTGCAAGATCTTGTATTTGATCTACACTCACGGTTGATAATAAAAAAACAAGATGTATATCACCGTGCTTTCTCTAAACAAATCACGCCGATACGTGTATATATATAGCTACGTCGCGTAGCACCTTGCAATCTATTCATACCCTGTCATTATTTCGTATTGCCTCATCCAAATGCGATCGTCATTAACACTTTAATTGGCCTCTTGAGAGGTTTTTTATTGATAGAATATTGAAATTAATGGCTGTGTTATACAAAAGTTTATTTGTTGTACAATTGTACCACATAAGTGCTCGTTTGTTGCTATATATACTTGGTTGTTTGCTGTAACCATTGTGGACTATAAGCAGTATAGGTGTTCACTTTTACTGCGAGGAGGAATTGTATTCACAAACCACCGGCTTAGTTTATTTGTCGAACGCTACCTAAAGGTTTCTGCAGTTCAGGTAATAAATTATTTACATTCAACAGCTTTAAAATATTGCTCATGTTATCTAGCTGTTGCAAAGCTGATTGTTTGCCAGAAGGTCCACACTTTTCAACCGTTGAAACTTTTTTACATAACATGTTTAGTCACACATAGTGTTCGGTTGCATGTAATTGTAATGTCGTGAATTAGTACTCGTTTTTGTAAGAAAACGAATACGTGATACAAATAATGTTTTTGTAATCCATAAAGATCATATCTAACCTATATAGGACCAGGATAGGACAATTTCCAATATTATATAGATCGCTATTCTAGCAAATTTGTATATTTAAATTCGCATCTTTAATTTATTTGCAGACATTTAGTTTTGTGAAAAATATATAAATCTAGTTAGTGTGATGGTGTTATATATGCCGAGGTTATTTTGGTTGTCATAGCAAGCCGTCACAAAAAATGATTAATTTTGTACGTTATTTTTGCCGCTTTCTTATGCAAATCAAGTTAAGAATGGCTTAAATGCGTCATTCAGATAACGTTTGAATAATTAATAACAAAATCTGGAGTGCAATTAAGACACTTATATAAAGTTATATTGTAAGGCCCGTTTGCAATTTATGCTGCGATTTCTAAATCATTTTCCTTCTTCTGATGCATGTGAAAGAGTATATGAGTTATGAATGGTCTGAGTGTATGTATCCTCCACGTTATGAATGGTCTGAGTGTATGTATCACCGAACATTCATAACGCATCCACAAGTTTACACCCACCAGAAGACGAAAATCGCAACAAAAATTGCAAGTGCGTGCAAACGGGCTGTCATTGAACTATAAGAAAGAGCTATGGAATGCTCCAAGTATGAATTGATAACTGACGTTCTGCCTTGCACTGTTCAATCAAAAGAAGCTTCCTTCCTTCCTCTTAACGCGTCGTGAACATGCATGTACTTATGTATGATCTTACTCTGCTGGTAGAGGCTTCTGCTTGACCTTGCTGATCTCTGAAACAGACTTGATTGTCGTTTGAACCGCCTGTATATACTTAAAGCTGACTATATTGATGGGGTTGTAGTAAGTGTCATGCAGGGCCTGTTGTTCAAAAGCCGATTAGCTTAACCCTAGGTTAATCTAAAATTCAAAGCAAACTTCCCAACGGCTTCTTTATAATGTGGAAATATTTATTTAGGAATCTTGCCTGGAACGCTAGGAGTTTTCTTCTCTGAAGTTTTGAAATGAACAGACGTGGGTTAATGCTAATCTAGCTTTGAACAACTGGCCCGTGGTGATCAAAGCAAGGATATTAAACTTCATCTTTATTTATTTATTTGCCACAACAACATGAAACGAATTAGCATTATTTTGCTCTGTTTGGTTGATTAGCATCTGCTGGACGATAGTGCTAAGTGAAACCCATACCTGGCTCTTTTTCAGGTCATTGGCGTGGCTCAAGTGATCAACAAGAAATGTGGTGACCATGAATTCACAGAAAAAGATGTAGAGGTGTGTTTAAAACGGAATGAATGAATCCAAAAGAAATATTTTACAATAACGTGTTTTTATACTTGGTTTCTTGCTGGTGGAACAAACTTTCGATCAAGAGTCGCTTTCCATATTCTTACTTCGAAATGGCCTCACAATGATTAAGGGTTTGATTAGAGATAGAGTTAGTTAGGGGGAGAGTTAGACACAAGACCATACATTCAAACGTGAGCGTCAAGAGATAGGTACTATATTCTACAACAAGATGTCATTACGCTTTGAGCAAACGCCTTTGATCATAGTTTAGTTCTCGGCACCTTCGCTCAAATCCCCTAACTTTTTTTAAGATCCAGTCTTGTGCGACTGTAAGGATATTTAAAACATAGGAGTGAGGCTGATATAGTACAGAGCTTTATATCTGGCTACGAGGTCCATTGGTCCATTGCCAAACTGATGTTCCATTTTGCAGGTCGTGAAGAATTATTTAACTTTTTGTGGCATTGGAATAACAAATGCTCAACTATTTGAACTTTCTGTCATGGAGTACAGAAGAAATCAAGTAAGAATATTACCATGATAATCTATATTTCTGTTTATTCAACAACATTTTGGAAACTTCCACGGAGGTAATGACATAGTCAAGAGCTGTTCTGTATAAGTAATTAGTTTAGTTTAGTTATATGTTAGTATGTTTATTAATTTGCGTTTTCTGTGAACGTAATTTTCTATCGCAAGATATTATCGTTTGATTATAATGCTCTTAACCTCCGCCGTTTCTAGGTGTTACTTCAACTGGCCAAACGAATCTTTGAAGAACAAACTAGTTTGGATAAAGTTGTTCATAACATAATGTTGGAATCCCAGGAACTTCTGCATTGTGAAAGATGTTCTGTGTCGCTAGTGGATACGTCTGTGGAAAACGTAAGTATACGAGAATAGATCTCATTGTAGTTTTTCATTCATGTCATTGTGTCATTTCATGGGAAATCATATGAAAGTGAAATATACATTTGAATACGTGGAAAATGCTAAATATCTGACAGTTCGACTCAGCTTCATGTGAGAAAAGTGCTTCCAACTTGACTCAAGCTGGAAGCACTGCGGGGCTTTCTCCTTGTATTCCGGTTTCCTTCTCTAACACTGGACCAATAACGGATGATTGCACTTTTATCCACAGGTAGATCAGTTTAATTTGTCGTTTATATTTCAACTTGGTCTTCGAATAATTGAATGCGTAAATCAGCCAGACTTTTTACATACAAACATTTTTTGTTTAGGAAATCGTCTTTTCAAAGTCGTTTGACTTGCTGCCGGAAGGAGAGAAGGAAGAAAGGTGCTTCAGTGTTTTTGATATTTACGGTTCATTTGCTACATGTGCCTTTGCGATGTCTTACGTCATTATGTTATATTTAGATCTGTTTTTACATAGTTCAACCTTCTCTTTTCTTAGGTTTCCCCCATTACCTATTCCATATTGTATCCAGCTCCATAATGCCTCTGATAGGCTGTCCTTCAATCTTTTTATTACCCATCCATACCATCTCATCTTTGCTTCCCTTTCCTTCTCTGCAATATCTGCTACTCCACATCTTTTGATCTCTTCATTCCTTAACGTTCCTGACCGTTTCTCCTTCAACCCTCTCATTGCGTGTCCATTTCAAAATAACATATTTCATTTTCCCAGTTCTCCATCCAACTGTCATTGGTCTTTGAATAATGGAATTGCAGCGTTTGCAGCCATGACGGGAGAAGTAGGTATCATCCAAAAATATTTTTCACCTGGGGCAAATAAACATTCACAATTTTTGTTCTCTGGAATAATGATGTTTTCTCTATGTTAGACTATCAATATTGCTGATGCTTACCTAGACGACAGATTTAGCGAGACAGTTAAAGAGGTTGGTACAATCTTGTACATTCTGAACTTAAAGTATAACTCCTTTAGTTATGCTGGTTAGTTCTAAAGTGTTTTCCCTAGAGGTGCTGTAGAGCACGTGCATAACTACTCTGCTATCCACACTTCCTAATTGTACACACGCAAAAGTCTCACATCTTGTAGCAAGTCTGCCAACAAGTTGTCTTCGCAATGCTTGTCCCAAGTTGTCAACAAGTTTGGACAAACTGTTAACAACTTGTAACAACCTTGTTGATATTATCAGACTTGTTGCAAGGTTGTTCCAACAAGTCTGATACAGTCATGATATAACAATATTGTTACAACCTTGTGCCGTCAACCTTGTAACATTCTTGTTATATCACTTGTTACAACAACTGGGAACAAGCATTGCGAACACAACTTGTTGACAGCTTGTGAACAGATTTGTAACAACTTGTTTGTAGAACTGTAACAACTTGTGCGTTTTACGTGTGTAGTCAGAACGCTTGTATTTTATCATATTATATCACATTACATTACAGTCTTCGTAGTTTTCATTAAGATTTCAATTGATTCCGTTCTGTTTTATTTGCTTAGTCGGATGCTGTGACCGGATTTCGCACGAAGTCGATATTGTGCACACCAATTAAGAGAAATCAAGAAACTATAGGTGCCTTCAACTTTCATAATTATATATTCTGTATCAGTCCTTTTTATCAACACACTATAATGTATGGGAGAAAATTTGTACATCATATTATCCTGTTTTTCCAAGGTATTTGTCAGTTGATAAACAAAATAGATGGACGTCCATTTGACGAAAACGATGAAAGTTTGTTTGAGGTATAAACTAGTGTATTTCTTTTCTACAAATACGTGAAACATTTTCCCTGGTATCACTTTATAAATGTAGAGAAGTTTAGTTCACATGAACTTTGTCAGCCCTCACAATAAACTACAATAACTACTGGATAATTCTGTATGCTCTAAACTGTCCTCCAAAGAGATCTAATAAGATCCCCTCACATGCAACTCAGACGAAATTGTGATCATATAACTTTATAGTTGAAATCCGGTGAAAGGCACATGAGTTCACCACTGTATATGTTATGTTCGACAGGCATTTGCAATATTTTGTGGGATTGGAATTCACAATACAAACATGTACGAGAAAACTTCTAAATTGTTGGCAAAGCAAATGGTTGCAATGGAGGTGAGATATTGTACTGTTGTTGTTGGCAATATGTTCGAGTCGGTCGGTTTGTCGACCAGCCAGCCAGTTAGTCAGTCAGTTACAGTCAGGCTACTTGCAGGTCGGTACAGTAAACGCACGAAAGCCAGTTGAGCACCTAAATGACCACCGTGGGATACTATACAACGTTATATTTTTTTGTTTCAAGGTTTTGTCGTATCATGCTCGCGCTGCTCCAGAAGACGTTAAAAGATTGATGGTAAATAAAAGCATCTTGTATATATTCAAGATTTAGGCAATTTCGTATAAGCGATCCAGGGCCTGGGAAAGAGGTTGCCAGGAGAGCGAGCTCTCTATATATATATATCTGGAGTAAGAACTTCATTCATTCGGCTTATGAGAAAAAGTGAAGCCAAGAGTTCTCCAAACTTTAAATAGCTACTAATTCTGGTGTGCTGTTCCATTACTGTGAATTACTGTATTAAGCCCTTCCCCCTCTAATAACGTTCCCACTCAATTAATCTCCCGCCCCCTCCATTTACACAACAAAGACACATGTGCACTGATAAGATTTGTTGGTCGAAGTTTAACTCAGTTCACTGTGTTTGACCTACTACGATTCGGTGATTACCTCTTCTTTCTGATGCCTTTTCTGCAACAAACTTTCCGAAACGTATCTGAATAAGACTGGATAGAAGATTTACTGTTATTGCCTTAATTTTTTTATACATTTTGCTAGGATTTTCCTGTCTCTGGTTCAGATCATTTCAGGCTTCATGATTACGCGTTCAGTGACTTTGAGCTGAATGATGATGAAACTATCCAGGCTTCGTTAAGGATGTTCTTAGATTTGGATATTTTAGACCTTTTTCATATTTCATCGAAGGTGAGATTGTTGTTTCTACAATCCGTTTGCTCTGATTCCCCTCATCTCTTCACGGATATTACGTGCTGGACTATTTTACAAAACTATTAATGATGATACTTGGATATGATACTTGGAAGAATACACTGTAAAACAGATTGGTTAAAACAACCATTGGTTATCTGAGATTCGTTGTCCAATTTGTTTTTACTGTGCAAATAACTTTGCTTGAACCGTTTGAAAGCATTGTTAAATTGTAACCCATTATAAGCTGCAATGCTCGCCAATGCGCCAAAGGTGTGGAAAAAAATAGTCGAGCAACGCTCACAGGAGATGTTGAACAGCTGCAGGAGGTTTGTTAGATTGAAGATTTGCAACCCTAACACTTATGTCCCACTATGGGCGCAACAACGTATGGTTGACAGACATCCTTCCCTGAATTTCAAACCATGCATGGTCAACTATAGGTGAACTAGGACACTATGTTTAAGCAAAGATTTAGCTTATTTTTTCCAGCCCTGATGCGCTCTACTTTGATATTTTGTCCTACTATATATATTTCTTTTTTCCTCCCTCAGACGTTTGTTAGTTGGTTGCTAAGTGTGAAGAAGAACTATCGTCCAGTAATCTATCACAACTGGCGGCATGCATTTAATGTTGCACAGACCATGTTTGCTATATTAACGGTATGTAAGAATCAGAGAGTCCTCACATACCGTATGCCAGTTCACTGGAATGTCAAGTTTTGGGATTCTAATTCTATATAAATCTTGTTTTCTTCAGACAGGGACAATGAGAAAGTATTTCACTGATTTGGAATGTTTTGCCCTTCTTGTGGCCTGTCTTTGTCATGATCTTGACCACAGAGGAACAAATAACACATTTCAGTCAAAGTGAGTTTATGTTACTGCAAAGGTTCATGTATTAAAACTTTCCACAATTATGATGAAGAGATAAAAGTTTAAACGAGCCATAAATAAACAGCGCAAACTTTCCCCGGTGTCCTCGCGAAGTGGACGTACTTTATATGATCCAAATCCTCCTTTTATAACACAGAATTTTTCAGAATTGTTGCATTTGTATAGATTTTAAATTTTTGGTGTATAATTTGTCTTGGTGTATGAACCTCTACTGGCTCAGCAGAACTTTTTTCGGTTGGTCATACACGTCAGTTTTTCTTCGGGTACTTCAATTTTTGCACAACAAAGTTATGTCTGATAAGATTTGATACGATTTCTTTTTCCTTTCCTGTAGGATCGAATCACCTTTAGCGCAATTGTATGGCACATCGACAATGGAACATCATCATTTTGATCATTGTATCATGATCTTAAACAGTGAGGTAAATGTCTTTATGTGTGGTTCTAATATCTTGTGTAGCAGCCACTGCAGAAAAATAGAAGAATCGGATGACATTCCGATGACTTTATCACGATGGCACCATTCGTACGTCAAGTGTGGCTGTTCGCATGGCAAAGTACTGGAATAGCCAAGCATTGGTGATCTTTTTTTGATCTTTTTTTCTTTTTTGTGAAAGAGTTTGGATGTATTTTTTCTTTTGTATGCTGTTAGTCTTTACTAGTTGGAGAGATATATCGGCATTCTGTTGCCATGATCATATAGAAACCATGCTTAACATTTGATAACGGTCGTTTCACTTGTTATTATTTCAGGGAAATAATATTTTCTCGGAACTGCCTCCGGACGATTATCGGAATGCGATAAAGTATCTTGAACATGCAATTTTATCAACAGATTTACAAATTTATTTCAAGTAAGCTGATATTTGTTTGTGGGGTTTTTCTACGTTTTCGCTGTTTTGTCCTTCTTTTTCCCTAGCTTATAACATCACCTTAAAGATGAAAACCCCGCAATCAGAGTACTAAATGCACTTGTTCTGCTGAAAACATCAATAAGATACCTTGATTACGACATGCATGCATGTACTTACTTTACAAAATCATATTTGATTTTGTACTCTTTAGTTTGAAAACTCCTCGCCATACTTCAGCAACTGAGCTGAAACTCGAGCTAAAAATGTTCCTCTATCTTGGTTGTTTGTCCGTTTGTATATTATCTGCATGTCCTTCATTATTAGGATAGTATCTCATCTCTCACTAATTACATTATTACATTCAAATTTCAGAAAACGAAGTGAATTTTCACAAATTATCAAGGCCAATGCACCACCAGAATGGAAACAAAACTGTCAGAACCGAGCTCTTTTGAGGTAGAAATTCAGTCTTTAGAGATACGTGTTAAGCTGGAGTAATACGAGTGTTTGAAACTTTATATATTTCTAATATTATTACATGAAGTATTACGATAACAAATAAATTTAAAGTAATGTTGCGTAATCTGTCACAGTCCCCGGGTTGATCATTTAACATGATCAAATGACTAACTTAAACTAAATATGAACTGATGAACATTTTCCTAATGTTTTTACGTTTGTTCTGATTCCTAATGTTTTTACGTTTGTTTTGACAGTTTTCGTACAAGTTCTCCTCGAACAGCTGCCTTTCTTTTTGGTCGATTCTTCTTCTCTACAACGGCAGTCTTAACATCAATGTCTAATGGTTTTGTACTGAGATCTTGTGTTCCGGATGATTCTTCATTCACATCAACTAGTTCTTCTTCATGCTTGTTTCCGATTTTCGAGCGAATTTCCAATGGGATTAAATGTTGTATAGGTCTTCGTATGATGATAGGCTTTCGAGTCTCACTGTTCAACACTCGAATCTTCGCTGATTTTACAACACCGTCAATACTTCGAATAAGCTCTTCGACCTTCGCTATTTTCCAAAATAACCGTTTCGTGCTCTCCTTCTTCAAAATTACAATGTCTCCTTCGACAATTACGTCCCTTGTACCGTTGTTACTCGATCTCGCTGCTTCGCGAATACTTAGCAAATATTCTCGTCTCCATTGTTTAGTGAATTCCTTTAGTAGAGTTTTGTGATGTCGAGCTCGTCTTGTCAAAGACTCGTTTGTGCTCACTATCTCGAACTGTCTGTCGTTTGGCGTAGTCGTCGTTCTCCGTCCATAAAGTAGACAAGATGGCGTAAGGGGGTACGATATGCCCTCTTCATCATCGTATATGTACGTAATTGGACGATTATTTAACGTTGACTCAATCTCGATCAAGATCGTGCGTAACTCTTCAAACGATAACGTAGCTCGACCAATGGACTTTTTTAGGCACCTTTTAACACTCTTTATCAAACGTTCCCAAAAACCCCCGTGCCATGGGGCCTTTTCGATAATGTATTTCCAAGAAACGCCATTTTTTGCGAGATGTTGTTGCACTTCGGGAGAACGCTTAATTTTTGACAGTTCCTTGCTAGCGGATTTAAATGTCTTTGCGTTATCTGAAATTATCATTCTTGGAAGTCCTCTCCGACCTGAAAATCTACGAAATGCTTGTAAGAATCCTTCGGCTGATAAACTCGGAAGCAGTTCTACATGAATTCCACGTGTTGACGCACAAGTAAATAGAGCGATGTATGACTTTTTTGTTGATTGTTGACCACACTTTGAGTTCTCTTTGACGTTGAGGGGTCCAGCGAAATCCACTCCTGTGTAACTAAAGGGAGGGTCATCACTTGTTCGCCAAGATGGTAGGTGCGGAGTCTTGGGCGTAGGGTACGGCTTCCCTTCTAATCTTTTACAAGTCACACATTTACGTAGAACTCGCTTGACTGCTTGCCTTCCATGTAGGATCCAGTATCTTTCTCGAATACGGTTCAGTGTTCCTTTAATACCAGTGTGGTTTGCTGAATCGTGATGTTCTTGGATGATCAAATCTGTAACGTGATGCTTTGCGGGAAGGAGTACAGGTTTCTTAGCTTCAGAAGAAACAGAAGAATGTTCAATTCGTCCTTCACAGCGTATCATTCCTTTTTCGTCCAGAAATAAGCGTAGTTGATCAAGCCTTGAGCTGGAAGTTTTCGTACGATTAACTAATTGTTTAACTTCTTCGGGAAACATATTGCTCTGAATATCCTTTATCCATATCTGTTCGGCTTCGATCAGTTCGTCTGCTGATAGTTCTGACGTTTTATCTACGGTTTGTCCTTTAATCTTCCTCACGAACCTAAATACGTAAGCTGTCACTCGTAATAAACGTGTTTTCGAGCTATATCGATGACAATCCATCACCCTGCCGACATTAACTGTGTTATGTTTCTTCTCTAAGACTGTAAGGGAATGAGTTGTTGACTCGTTGACTGATTTCACCGTTTCCGATAATGCGATTTCACTTTCTGTTCCATTACATCGAGGAGGTTTCGGCCAGTTTTCTTCTGATAACTTCAGGAATTTAGGACCATGGAACCATTCGTCGTTTTTAACCAGTGCTGCTCCACTACAACCTCGCGAAGGTAAGTCTGCAATGTTAAATTCTCCTGGGCAGAACATCCATTTATCCTCTCCAACGAGTTTTCGAATTTCGTCGACTCTTCTCTGTATGTACTGTTTCCACGGTTTATCATTTTGTATCCAACAAAGTACGGTAAACGAATCAGTCCACATGAATATCTTCGGATTTACTAATCGAGACCAAAGGATCTTGCTACTCGCGCTAAC